ATTAGTTTATTTTAAATTTTATTTGTGTCTGCTTGTAGTTGACACAAACAAAATGTGTGCAAAAAGAAAATTTATCAAGGTTATTTTCAAATTTCCTGACATCTCCATTAGAATGTTCAAAACTACCTCAACAAGATTTCATTTAAAAAGTTAAATAAAATGTTTAAGCAGTTTACCTCTATGCAAAGTAAAATCAATGGATTTATTCTTTTAAAGAAGTCTTATGAATTTCTTTAAAAGAATATATATTAATGGTTATTTGTTTGTCAATTACAAAAGTTGTCAACTAAAACAAAAACAGATAGTTGGTATTTTCGTTTAATTTTGATTTGTATTTCAACCCAAAATATTGTCAGAATTTTTAGCATCAATCATAAAACTAGATGACAATATTTGTAGCTTATTTACTTATTTAATCAAATCCACATAAAAAAGTAAAATTGCTGCTGTTTATTATACGTTTCGCAAGGATTGTGGGCAGTATTATTATTATCTATTGGTTCAAAACTAAAAACCTAGAAAAATCAATTACCAAACCAACTTCATTTCTTAACTCAGATTGAAAATTTAAATGTATTTTTCTGTGATATCAGGTGGTTGACCAAGTTAAAAATATTAATTTCTAAAAAAAACAAATAATGATAAATAAAAAATGTGAAAAAATTGGTTATAAACTTATTCATAAAATCAAAATCTACTTTATTTTTTAAAATCTTAGTTTTTTTTATCCTCAGCAATACTGAGGGTAACAAAATTACTGAAGTAGATTTTACATCTACTTTAGTAATATTGGCGCTTCATCTTCATCTACATCTACATCTTCATCTTTGTATATTTTTTTTATACAGTTTTTAATATGATTTATTTGGAAACGGTTTTTATAATAATTTTTGTTGATTCAATTTTTATTACTTCACATATATCAAAATCATTTAACAAATTAATCAATGCTGAAACAATTTTTTGGTTTTGTCATCCTTAAGCTAAGCTGCCAACTTTATTTTCTGATCATTGTTTTTTAAAGCTACAACTTGCATTTTTTTCTGTTTAATCTTTTTTTACAATTTTCTTAAATTCTTCTTTCATTCTATCAACTTCTTTCATAACTGCTTTGTAAATAACTGCCCGTATTGGAGTTGCAATACTTATACCTTCTTCTTACAATTGATGACTTTTTTGGTCTGGTGTGTACTTACCTTTACATTCTTTAATAAAGAAACAGCTGAAGCAGTTAAAGCTTTTTTTTTTCTTTTAGGTCTCCTGAAATTGCCAGTAAATGGGAAAAAATCATCGTCAGCCTCTTTTTCACTGTTACTAGAGTTAGAGCCAGTGATTTCTATTTGATGTATGGTTTTGCTGACAAAAGTTACTTTATTTTTGATACATTTAGATGCATGAGTTGGAACAATTTTTGAAGTAACATATCCTACTTTTCCATCACTTTCAACATTCAAACCTTTTTTTTTCAGTACTAAACCATACACCTTTTTTATTTGTAATATTTTTTATTTGTAATCAAATAATATTTCATTATAATAGTTGATACTGATTATCTGTGCCTTCTGATCTCTGTGGTATTTATTCACCAAATTTTCAACTTATCTTGAAACTGATTTTTATGTTATCGCTGAAAAATTCAGTTTGGTCCATAATGAAATCAATTAACAGGCAATAACTTTGCATCATCCAAAAACAGATTCTCTAAAGAAGAATTAGTGAATCTTCCTAAAACAACTAGTGCATTTGGAATTCTAATGCTTGTCGAGTGGCTTTTCATTTTTTTTTTTTGATTTCTGTTCTTTTTGCCTTTGCTTTCTCAAAATGAACTAAATTGCTTTGTCAAGTTTTCTTGTTATTGTTTATGATATTTTACACATCCATTTTCTTGTTATACATTTTCTTGTTATTGTTTATGATATTTTATCTACCCTTCCTAAAAAGATTTAAATAATGAAATATTCTTTATTGTTTTAAACATTATATTTAAAAAAATGTACTTACGCATTAAAAAATAAATTTATCAAGGTTTTGTTTAACGAAAGAAAAACTGAAAAATACTGAATTAAGCGATGTGAAAAGTAAACTAGCTAATTTTAAAAAAGTGGTCTATAAGCGACATTTTTGAAACCAATCATCAAGTTATATATAATTTCACAGTCCCTATAGAAAGTTTCATTATTAGTAATTATAAATAATGTTAGGGGACATTTTTGAAACAAATCACCAAGTTATATATAGTTTCACAGTCCCTAAAAAAAGTGTATTGAAAAGAAAGAAAAATATTTGCGTGACAGGCTGAAGGAGTCGAGTTAGAAAGATAGAGCATAGGTAGCGAACAGATATTGCACTGGATGTTAGAATGTGCAATGAAACATTAATTGGTTACAACTAAATAATTTTTTTTTTTTTAATAAATAATGTATTTCATAAATAATTATTTACAATTTTAGGTTATAATCTAAAATTGTAAAAGCAATTAACAGAAAAGAGCTGCATTAAAATAAATAAAACATTTAAGTTGAATCTAACATTACGCTACTCACGGCTCTGTATTTTGGTTGAAAGTAAAAGGTTGAAAGTAAAAGAACAATTTTTATTTGAAAAGTGAATGCACAAAAAAGTTTAATTTTTAAAAAACAACTCAAACATTATAAATTTAGTTACACTTCAAAATAAAAATGGCTTCTTACTATTATATTTGTTATATACTAATATGTATATATAGTACATATACATATATATATATATATATATATATATATATATATATATATATATATATATATATATATATATATATATATATATATATATATATATATATATACATATTCATATATATATATATTAGGCCGGATCATAAAAATTTTTTTTAGAATTTGTAAAAAGTGGCATGATATAGTGTTGTTTAATATTTACAAAAAAAATATTTCTAAAGAATTGATTATACTTTGCATTTTTAAGTTTTAAGGTTTTATATGCTAAGTATATTCACTATAGTACATGCATTAACTGAAACATGCATTTAACCCTAATACTAGATATAATCCCAAGGTTATGAAATTGAACCAAACCTATACCTACCTAACTAAATTAACCCTAATGATATGATTAACTCCAACGCTATTATAACTTTATATTATTATATTATTATTATTATTCTATTTTTATATGATTGTTTATTAATTTCTGCTTTTATAAACTGATTGCAGAATTTATCCGTCTCATTTTGTATTTTTAGAAATTAACTGAAATTCTGATATGTTATAAAATTGTAAAACAATAACGATTTCAAGATCTAAAGCTTCAAAGAATCGTCATATACTTTTTGGAGAAGGTCGTGAATTACCCAATTTTTGCTTGCCAACCCACAAGCAAGTCGGCAAAGCATACTTGTCAGAGAAGAATTATGAAACTGAACCACTACGGTCTGTTTGTAAGAGACTAGCAGAGAAACTTTCTCAGATATGGATTAAAGTATCAGTTTCTAATATAAGTCTTCGAGGCATAGAATTACAGCTGGAGAAGTACATAGGCGATGTTCAGAAAGTGATTCGATCAAAGTCTGCAACAGTCAAACAATATGAAATAGAAAAAGATCTTGACACATTGTTTGACATTTGTTCGTGTAAATGCAAGGAACTTTCGTCTTGTTGCTGTCCAATGGTTCTGAAGGTGCCAGCAATTGAGCATGACTTCCTAACTGATCAACGCACTATACGCGTTGGCAGAATAGCTGGAATCGACAAAAAGGAATCCGCACGTGCTGAGAGCGCAACATGACGGCTGCACAGAAAGCCAAAGTTGACTCCGGCAATGATCAAGAAACGTTAGGAACTGAGAAAGCAACACGAGAATTTCACTGATAATGATTGGAGTTAGGTGTGTTTCAATGATGAATCTTCCTTTTACATCATGGATGAGAAAAGACTGCAAAGACAGTCAAGAAATACTAAGCTGACAACCACATTAAGCTTCAGCAGTGGTTAGGTAGTTCACCTGGCATGAACCAAATTGAGAATCTGTTGAAAGAAAATTGAGGTATGAAACAGAAAAACAAGAGGGAACTGACCGAGGCTTTGATCAACTTCTAGCATCATGACAACGAAATCAGCTTTGTCAGAAACTTATTTGTGGAATGCCTTCAATGATCCTGCTTAAAAACAAGGGAAGCCATACAAAATATAAGACCTGTTTCAACTATCCGAACTTTCATTGCCATTGTAATTTATTTCATTTTCTATCTCTCCTTTTTGCATTTTTATTGTGACTTTTACTTAGTCTTATTAATGCGAATTTAAGTCATATCAGTATTTGAGTATCAACTCCAAGTTTTGCATTGTATTTAAGTGTTTTTATACTTTAACGGTTCAATTTTGTGCTTTGTTACAATAAAATATTGCTTTTCTTAAATTTTCTAATTTTTTGTAATGTTTTGAAGTAAAAATGTTGCATTATCTATAAATAAATTGTACAAATGCATCAAAAATTGCATTTAGTACAACGTACAGTGGTGGCCAAATTATTAGATAATTTGGCCACCACTGTACGTTTGTTGGTCGTTTTACAGCTTTATATAACCAATAATAAAAATAATAATATAAACTTACAATGATAGACAAGATATCTGAAAGAAGATTGCGAGGATCTTGTTGTCAGAACCTTAAATTAGCATTTAACAAGGATAAGATAAACAAAAAATTAATAAACTGTTACAAAATTGCAAGGTAAATAATCTATGTATCTGAAAAAGCAATAAATAAAATAAGTAGGAACAAACTTATATAAACGTAGACATGTATATAAACAATAAAAAAGTAGACAAAAATATATTTTTAGCTTTTACTACTAATAATAACTCAATATATTATCTAATGAAAGAATGAGGTTTTTCAGTTTATTTTTAAAAAGACAAAAAGTAATAGGTGCTTCAAAATAAAGTTCGGCAAAGCAATTTTATTCCAATGTTGTGGCGCTCGATAGGTCATACAAAACCGATAAAAGTTTATTTGACAAAAAGGCTCATTTAAAAAGTTTTTATTTCTTAAAATATATTTACTGATTGGTTTAAAAGTTAAAAGATCATTGAAAACGGCTAGGGATTATTTATTCACATATATACAAACATAAAATATTAAATACATTTAACTCGCATATATTTAGATTTCTCATTTCAATAAAGTAATGTTTCGAATGAGCGAAGCGATTTGCAAAATTGATTATACGGATTGCGATAAGGACGTTGCAACTTTTTCTGTACTTCCCCTAAGCAATATTAGAATAATTTAAATAATGTATAAATAATTAATAAAGCTGGATTGAAACTTTCTTATTGAGATAGACTCAAATTTTTGTGCTTTTATAATCAATATGATGATTCCAAGTAATGTTTTCATCAAGATAAACTTTGAAAATGAAAATTTTTTTATAATAAAATCTCTCTTCATTTCCTTTTGATCGATCAAGATTTGAGGTATTTTGATGGAAAAATTGCTTTTTTGTAATCGAATGGAATAAAACCGTTTTATTATTATTTTATTGTTTTATTGGTATTTAAAGTTAAGTTATTACAATTGAACGAATTAGATACATGTCTGAGTTCTTCGTTTATTAATTTAAAAAGTTCAACGATATCATACTTAGAAAGAAATAAGTTTGTATCATCTGCATACATGATGCTCGTTAATTTTGAAGCTTTATTTAAGTCATTTATATAAATTAAAAATAGAAGAGGTCCAATAATTGAACATTTTTGGGACTTCACAGGGTATATTAAGAAAAATGGGTCGATAATCGTTGTTATATGGTACAAATTATTTTCGGTTAGATAGATAAGTTTTACAATTTTTATTTTTTATTTCGTAGTATTTGACTTAACAAATCAGAATATGGTAATCGACTGTATCAAAAGCTTTCGATAGGTCAATAAAAATTACTAGTGTATATCGTGATTTTTTGAATGATTTTGAGGTTTCACGTGCAAATTGGGTAATTGCATGTTCAGTTGAGTTGTCTTTCTTGAAACCAAATTGATTTATGTAAAGTAGATTGTTATCATTAAAAAAAATTTATATTCTGTTGAACATAATTTTTTCTTGATTTTTCAAAAATGTGGAGAGAACAAAGATTGGGCGATAATTACTAATTTCAGTTTTGCCCCTTTCTTTGAAAATAGGAATAATTTTGCAATTTTTTATTGTTCTGCGTATACTCCTTGATGGATAGAAGTTCCGAAGACTTTAAAAGAAACAACTTTAATTTGTTCAAAACAATCTATAATCACGTTTCCATTAATCCGGTCAGACAGAGCTTGGTATGACCATGTCATTTTCTTCATTGTCAATAAAATTGGGTAAAAATCATTTGTTTAGAATTAAAAACTGCCCCATAAATTATTGCAACATATATATCTTAATAGACAATCAATATTGGTATTCGCTAAATTTGATTTTTTAGGTGCCCTAAGAAGTCCTTACGGTCTTATCACAGAGCACCGCAGAAGAGCATTTAATAGGAAGTTCACGCCTCCTTCCCAACCGATGTCGCAAAACTTGCCCAGAGGCGGGGTTTGAACGACGGATCTTACGTTTCTGAGGCAAGTGTGCTACCACTGCTAAACATCCAGAAGTACATTTTGTCGCATGTTTAATGCCCGTTTTTAATTTAATTTCTTTAAAAATTCTTCAAGAAGTATTAATTCTAAAATATATATTACGTCTAAATATTAAAAGATAAAAGTATTTTAGTAAGTTTTGTTGATAAAATTTCAAGTCAGGGGCAAATTTTTTGTTATTTAAGATAACTAACTTCCAGATATGGAAAAAACTCCAAACATTTACATATTTATACTTAAGTAAGGATACTTGCGAAAAATTGCGATGATTGCAGCCTGAGAACAAAAAAGCCCTAAACTGCCCAAAACGCGAGAGATTTGATAAAGTGATTTTTTTGTTTATTTACTATTCTCAAATAAATTTATATTCATTGATAAACTTTAAACTTCGTAGTATAATCTCTCAGCGTTCAAAAATTATGACCATACAAAATTTAAATCCCCCTCAATTTGAGGGAGTTACAAATTTCGTAATGACCATAAAAAATATGGACATAACTTTTGATTGTCAAAAGATTATTTTATGAAATTTAAAATTTATTGATGAATACAACTTATATTAACTTGTACTATAAAGTACAAACATATAAATGTTTGTTGTTAACAAACACCAAAAAATGTTAGATCTGTCCCTGTTTCCCGCCTAATTATAGTATTTCTTACTTGTACATTTATTTTTATTGTCATACTTTTCAATAACACATTTGGTTTGTCGCTATATTTTTTAATATCACATTAGAACTTCATTGTGAAATTTTTTAATATCACATTTGCTTTTTCATATTTTTTTTTATATCACATTTGGTTTGTTGCAACATTTTATATAACACCGCGACATTTATCATTTTGCATTGTCTAAAAAATGCGAAATAATAAAACTGTGCTTAAATTAAGGTGTGTTTTGCCAGTACGACTAAGCAATTTAGAATCCCTAAAAATGTTAGTTAACAAGTTAGAATGTCAAAAAAGACTTAATTAAAAAATAAAAAAAACAAAAGATGAATTTATATGGAAAAACTATATTTTACTTACATTTGACAGTCTATAGCATTTATAATATGCCTGGCAATCGTACTTTTTTCGGTAGAAAATAATACAAAGAGTGTGACAACATGTAAGAAAAACTGCCAGCACTCTATGATTTAATGAAACAGAGGTGGACTAATTGCGTACGTTCCGAATGTAGTTCCAATTGCGTACGTTCCCAAAGTAGTTAAGAGTGAAACTATAAGGTATTAAAAATTTCCATAAAAAAAAAAAAAAAAAAAAAAAAACACACCCAAAGAATGCTCGTAGCAATTGTAATGTAAAATAAAGGTATATAAACAAAGGTATATAAGGTATATTAGGTATACAAACAAAGAAAAATAAATCCGCTGGTTTAACATATATTTGGAAAATTGGGCAATAAAAAAATAAGAAAAGACCTTATTGAACTAACCCAAAACTAGATTGTTAATTTATTATTGGTTCAAGACAATACAAGATTAAAAAGTTACAAAATGTGTCTAGAGTCGTGATGAGATCACTAATCTTTATAAATATCTTAAATCGTGAAATTTGGTGCATATTATGTATCTTATTTCATTGTTTGTAAATTGTCCGATTAAAAATAATAAACAAAGTGAGTTTAAATGAAAAAAATAGAAAAATAAAATTTCTTTTTATTACTGTTTTGAGAATTAAACTTTTTGAAATATACTAACTTTTTAAATATTAATCTACGCCCCCCTGACAACCAACTGTTGCACTTTAAGTAGTTTTTTCAAAAAGATGCAATAAAAAGCAACTAAGCAGTAATTAAATAATTTTATTGTTTGTAAACCTCTAATTTGCGTGTCTAAACTAAAAAAAAAGACAAAAACCTAATCTTCCGTTTATGTAAACTTTATATATACAAATACTTCTAAAAATCTGTGAACGCGTTTAAAACCATTTCAAAAAATATTATGCCCAAAACAAGTTTTAAGCAAAATCATTCGAAGTGGTGCTATAAGAACTTAAATAATTTCGGCAGGAACACGAATTTAAGCAAGAATAATTGGGATTTTAAGCGAGATTTTGGTAGGAACAATCAGGAGTTTAAGAAAAAACAACTGGGATTTTAAGCAAGAATAGTTGAGATTTTAGCTGGAATTGTTTAGCAAAATCGATTAATTAAAATAACTGCAACTTATAGTAAATATATCGTATTGTAATCAGATAATCGTGTCTTAGATCTATACACACTTTATGAAATAAAAAAGCAGTAAGATCAGCGATAAATATAATATTACATTAGTGAATTAAGTATACAAGATGTCCATATGTTCTGATTATATTTAGAAGAGCGCTACGCTAAACTAATTAAAATGAAATCTTTGATTGCGCTCTCCTTTATAAAAAGTACAAAAGCAGAACAATAGGAGCCCTAATACAAGAACACTCAAAATATTAACTTAAAAACCTAAATTCAGACAAACTTTTATACATCTGTTAACTATCTCATTTAACACATAATAGATTTTAAATAAATGTTTGCACGGCGAGTATTTTATTTTGTAAAGGTTAGAAAAAAACAAAAAAACCTGAAACTGACCTATTTAAAATATTTGTTTTAGGAACTGCATAGGTACAGACATGCCTTAATTATTCTTAGTGGCATATAACTTTCAAAAAAATGTCTAAGTTATTCATAGTGGCACATAACTTCAACAAAAACGACATTTTTGTTAAAGATGTTTAAGTTGTGGATTAAGTATCATACTGAAGTTATCTTTATCGCTATCGCAAGATTAAGCATTATTATCAGTTAACTGATCCTTGACACACGACTGTGTATTTAAAATAAATTGCAGTATTACCATAAAATTGTCCACAAGAATTCAAGTATAAAATTTAAAAATAATAATATTTTTGAAATTAACGCAACATATGCGGCTGTAAAAAATCTTACATTAAACAAATTTTTATTTTAAGTCTATTTTCGAAATCCATTTAATTCTTTTCGACCACCTAAAGAGAAATTATTTCATGCGTACAATAATGATTGTTGGCTCATCCTAGCAGACGACTCTCTTGATGTTACGCTTAAGTAACTTTTGCTCAATTGCGCTGCTATTTTCTTAAATGTGCGCGTGAATAAGTACCAGCGTTAACTTCGAAAATCGGTGAGCGGATAATATTAAAGTGAGCAATATAGTAAACTAAATCATTTTCTAAACGTATTTCAACGAATTCAGTTGCGAAGAAATAATAAAAAAAAGAAAATCATGGCAAAAATTCTGTGGGTTGTATTAATAGCCTTCTGTATTTTAGTTGTTGAATCAAAAAAGAAAGCTGGTACAGTTTAGTTTGTATATATAAATGTTTTTTTTTTACTTTTTGAACGCCGATATATAAATAAACATAAATTACTAGACCATTTTTAGAAAAAGTTTAACTTTTCGTTAAAATAAAAATAAGTTAAAAATTTTTAATATATGTACATTGTATACTGTTTTACTTAAAGTTAGATATCCAATAAACTTAACCCTTTTATCTCTACGGGACCCCACCCTATCTTATTAAACAAATTTGTGCTCTCTCTCACACAGACATATGCAATCAGACATAGTTATACATATATATATTTTTTTGTAGCTGAAACCCCAGCTAAAACACCAGAAACACCAGCTGCTCCACAAGCTGAAGAAGAATCTACACCAGAAGAAGAAGAAACCGATAAAAAAACTGAGGAAAAAACAGAAGATGATGACGCTGTAAATAGCAAATTTTGTTCTTTTTTTTTTTAATATTGTAACTTTTATATATTTTTATTTATGTATTTAACATGTGTTTATATATACACCACCTTGTATGTATTTATATGCATGGTTTGAATGGAGGTAGAGGAAAAGAAGTGATGTGTTTGGAGTAAAGGTCCGAATTCGCCAACTAATGTTTGAATAAACTTTTCGTTGGGACTTGGTATACCCCTACGCCCCCCATAAAGAAAGCCCTGCATATTTGTAAAGTTTGACTTAGACTGTTTAGCTGAAGCCAAATTTACTATTGGCTTAAACTAAACTTAAGCTAATATGAAGTGCATGTAGCATTTAGATGAAAATTATGGTATAGTTTTTCAGAACATAAGATAACAGAAAAACATGATTTTGATTGTTTAGCTTACGCCATAAACACATTTTTTTTTTTTCATAATGATAAATATTTAAAAGAAGTTTTTTAAGAATTTTTTAAAAGAAATGATTGCGGCACTTTTTTGGAAAAACTTATTACCGAAAGAATTTGACGATTTGACTTTAATACCGCAACAAAATAAGCGTCATGTTTATGGCGCTAATGATTAATTTTTAGTGATCATATAATACCAAAAAACTAAATAAACTAGAAAGAAATCATTAACTGCTAAAAAATTTAAATAAGCTTCTGCTTTGCATATGTAGTGTTGATATTTAAACGTCAGTTTAATAAAGTTTAATATGAGTTATTTGAGTATTCTGTACTTAGCAAACTTAGTTGCTTGACTTGTTTTTTAAAAAGTAGAAATTTTCTTATATAAATTTATATACTTTTAAATAGCAGAAAATTGTGTTTTAATTAAAATAAACTTTTATTTATATAAAGGTTGAAGAAAAAAAAGAAGGAGTAGCTAAAAAAGAAGAAGAAAAAGAAGATACTAAATCTGAAGAAGCTGCAGAGGCTTCTTCTGATGATGATGGAGTAGAGAACGCTCCTGAAAGTAAAAAGCTTTAGTTATTTCATTTTTAAAAAAGCAATCTTTAACAACTTTAATTATTAACAGAAAATAATAACTTAATCAAAATAAAGTTAACGACGAAAATATAGCTTATGTTAAACTTTGATTTTTTTTTAAATTTAAATCGAATTCAGGACAACTTATTTTTAAAAGCAAGTTTTCTTATTTTTTAAAACAAGAAAAAAATGTTAAAAACTATTTTAAATAATCTTTTTAGTGGCTTGTAATTTAAAATTTAAACGCGTTGGTTGCTATGCTGATAACAACAAAAAAGAACGCCCCTTGAGATCTTACATCATGAGTGATGCAGATATTGGCACAGTTTCAAAGAAAGGAAAACTACCTAAAGGCGATAAGTTTAACATTGAGCTCCCCAAGTTTGCCTGTAAATGCGCCAATGAAGCAATTAACGCTGGAAACGCAGTTTTTGGTCTTCAAAATCTTGGTAAGAATAAGTCTAAATTATTAATTAAGTTTTATACTTTTTAATTTTAATGGCTAAATTTAAAGACTGTCAAAAGTGCTCTTGTACAATAAAATAATTTTTTTGATTAGCTGAATGCTGGACTGGTCCAGATGACAGTAAATATGATAGAGATGGAGCCTCAGAAGAGTGCGTGACCTTTAACTACGCCCCATGTGGTCCAACATCTGAAATGTGCGCCGGAAAGAAACACGCTAACTTTGTTTACTACGTAGACACTCCTGAGCACACTAAAACTAAAGAAGAAATTGCAAAAGAGTACAAAGAATATAAGAAAAAAGTTGCCGCATACCGAAAACGTCTTGCTGCCAAGAAAAAGTCTTCAAAGAAACGTAAGTTATCTCATAGAGAATAAAAACAATGAAATTTTTTTGTTGTTAATCTATTTGATAAAAATTCTTTATCCATAGAGAAGGCCAAGAAAGTCAAGAAAGCCAAGAAAGAATAAAACTTTAATGATGATAAATTCAATGTAGAAAGGAG